TCCCCGGAGTGTCAAAATGGGTTATGGGGATAATAAAATGAGGTTATTCACTCCAATTCGCTCGAAGACCGATTGGTACCTCTCTGCTCGGCTGACCCGCTTCTATGCCGCCTCAGCGACGCAGCAGTTCCGGTCCACTTCCCCTGCCGCCATCCGGCGATTCTAATAGAGCTTACTAAAAGAGCTTGGTATTGTTGCAAATGCCACACCGTTACTGCGGTTCAAAATGTTCAAAATGTTTCGAACTCAGCCGGACCACCCCCCAAGCAGCCTCTCTTAAGCCTCCTATCACCCCGTTCAACCCTGCGTACAGAGGGAAATGTGTTTGTTGTGAACACTGGGCTCGTTCAAGCGCCCAAGCAACCAACTGCTGTTATAGTGGGAAAAATAATACACAAACATTTTCAAAAAGAGAGCAAAATTTCTCTTCCATTTCTCACGAGTGCCCTGCCCCCGTGCAGCCAGTCACTCGAGCTAATCCAACCCTTCGCCACGCAGGCCGAGGCCTGGCAGGCCATCCCCGGAGTGTCAAAATGGGTTATGGGGATAATAAAATGAGGTTATTCACTCCAATTCGCTCGAAGACCTCCGCGCTTCAGCGGCATGGTCCCCACATTAGTGCAAAGCAGGGGCGCTCACGTCCTGCGCTCAGAGGTGATGAATCTGCTGGCAAAAGGAGCTGTAGAAACGGTTCCTCCAGCTCAGAGCGAGTCAGGCTTCTACAGCCGTTACTTCCTCGTCCCCAAAAAGGATGGTGGCCTCTGGCCCATCCTCGATCTCAGACACCTGAATCACGCCCTCATGAAAAGGTCATTCAGGATGACTACGCTGAAACAGATCCTCGCGCAGATTCGCTCAGGAGACTGGTTCTTTTCTCTGGACCTGAAAGATGCATACTTTCACATCCAGATAGCCCCCCCTCACAGACAATTCTTGAGATTCACCTTCGAGGGAGTGGCTTATCAGTACACGGTCCTTTCCTTCGGGCTGTCTCTGGCTCCCCGCACTTTTACGAAGTGCATGGTCTCTGGCTCCCCGCAATTTTACGAAGTGAAACTCTTTGAGACAGATGGGAATCCGCATTCTCACCTACCTTGGCGACTGGCTCGTACTGGCTCAGTCAGAGGCAGAATTAATATCACACAGGACCCTCCTCCTCAGCCACTTAGAGCGCCTGGGACTCAGGGTCAATTTCGCCAAGAGCACGCTGTTCCCCAGCCAGCGAATATCTTTCCCGGGAACAGTTTTCGACTCAGCTCAAATGAGAGCTGTAGTCGCGCCGGAACGGGCTCTGGCCATACAGAAACTCACGTCCTCCTTCGAGATCGGTGCCACTCGCCCTCTCAAAACGTTTCAGAGGATGCTGGGCCTCATGGCCGCAGCGTCACCACCACTACAGCTGGGCCTGCTCCGTATGCGTTGCCTTCAGCGCTGGCTGAACCCGCGGGTTCTATCCCATGCGTGGTGTCACGGACGCCTACATATCAGGTTCTCCCCCTGGAAGAACTCTCGCTGGATGGAACAGGGTGTGGCCATGGGAATGGTTTGCAGGAGAAAAGTTGTCACGACAGATGCCTCCAACGCAGGTGGCCATTGGCCATTGGTCGAAAGCGGAAAAAGGGTTTCACATCAACTGCTTGGAAATGCTAGCAGTGTGTCGAGCCTGTCAGTTCTTCCTGCCAGTCCTAAGGGGACACCATGTGCTAATACGATCGGACAACATGTCGGTGGTGTCCTACATAAATCGTCAAGCAGGCCCCTCTTCGAAGCGCCTCTTCATTCTGGTAGAGCGCCTTCAGGAATGGGCTCAACTCAACCTGCGCTCGCTGAGGGCAGCACATATACCGGGCAAATTGAATCGAGGAGCTGACATGTTATCATGGAGCAATGTCCCCTCAGAGGAGTGGATACTCCATCCGCAGACGGTTCAGAGAATCTGGGAGATCTTCGGCGAGGCGAGGTAGACCTCTTCGCCTCAGAAGACAACTCTCACTGCCCAATTTATTATTCGAAGTTCAGGGACGCGTTGGCCCACGATTGGCCCAACCTCCTCCTTTATGCATTGATTCCACAGGTAATCAGGCAAATCAGGGAACAGAGACACAAGGTTCTCTTGGTGGCCCCTCTCTGGAAGAACCAACTTTGGTTATCAGAGCTGAACCAGTTGCTGGTAGCAGCCCCCTGGCCCATTCCGTTGAGACGGGATCTCCTCTCTCAAGTGGATGGGACAATATGGCACCCTCGGCCCGAGCTGCGGGCCCTGCACCTTTGGCCACTCGACGGGAGCCTACAAGCCTCCCAGAGCGAGTTTTAAACACTATTTCGGAGGCTAGAGCCCCGTCTACGAGACACCTCTACGCCCTTAAGTGGTCTATTTTCTCCGCTTGGTGCCTAAACCGCGGTGAAGACCCATCTACCTCTGACCTATCGGTGCTTGTGTCATTCATGAAAGAGCTGCTGGTTAAGGGACGCTCCCCATCCACCCTCAAAGTATACATAGCAGCTATGGCGACCTCTCATGCCCCGATTGCGGGCCAATCGGTGGGCAGGAACAGCGCGGTTGTCCGCTTCTTGAGGGGCGCCAGGAGGCTGAATCCGCCTCGCCCCCTCACTGTCCCTGCATGGGCTCTGCCCACTGTGCACTCCTTTTGAGCCACTGCAGTCTACCAACCTTCGGTCACTGTCGCTGAAGACTGCTCTGCTTCTAGCACTAGCATCGGTAAAGCGAATAGGAGACCTGCAGGCGCTTTCCATTAGCCCTGCCTGCTTGGAATTCGGGCCTAATGACTCTAAGGTCGTCCTAAAACCAAGGCATGGTTACATACCCAAGGTGCTCTCCACTCCATTCAGAGCACAGGTCATCGCACTCTCTGCGCTTCCTCCCTCTGAAGAGGGCCGAGAGTTATCCTTGCTCTGCCCCGTCAGAGCTCTAAGAATTTACATTGAGCGTTCCGCCCCCTTCAGACGGTCGGAACAACTCTTTGTTAGCTTCCGTAACCACAACAAAGGGCATCCGGTCATGAAGCAAAGACTTTCTAGGTGGATAGTAGATGCTATCACGCTAGCGTACTCTTCCTCGGGCCTACAATGTCCCATCGGAGTACGGGCCCATTCCACCAGAGGCATCGCCTCGTCTTGGGCGTGGTCTAGCGGTGTGTCCATTGCGGAGATTTCTGAGGCGGCCGGCTGGGCCTCGCCGTCCACATTTGTGAGGTTTTATAACCTGGAAGTCCCGGCCTTACAGGCCAGGGTCCTTTCTGCTTGAAGAGACACTCACTGCATTATGCAAACAAGTCTGACAGAGAGTCCTTGACCGCAACACGCTCAAGCTCTTTGGTTTAGTTTACCTGTCGGCTCTCGGCCCCTGGGGTGCCGAAGTTGTATGAGTACTCTGGAATGATTACCCAGGCCGGGCGTGACCTCGGGGAGTTCAGCCCGCTATAGCCTTGGAGTTATTGTTTAACTTCCCTATGGGCATTACTTATGGAGAATATAATATACAGTCGTTCCTCTACCATAGCACGGCGTGATTGTACTGTGTTCCCATAGCATCTTTAGCAAGACGCAGTACGAGAGAAGTATCGACAGGGAACGTACACGGTTACTAACGTAACCTCGGTTCCCTGAGATACGGGAACGAGTACTGCGTTGCTAGCCGTGCTATGCAGCCGCATGACTCAGTCATTGCTTCAGTCGAAGTATCCTGAGAATCCTGTGGCAAACGCCCGCTTATATAGCCATTCTGGCGGGCTCTGGCAGGCTTTGTCGCCATGGGCTCGTGCAGCTCCGCTGCCGAGCCATTGGGTCGTTTTTAATACACTGCACGAACCAATGGCCGTGCAGTTTCACTGCGTGATTGAAAAAGGCTTCAGTTCAGGAGAAAAAAGGCTTTTTCCCATAGCATCTTTAGCAAGAGGCAGTACTCGTTCCTGTATCTCAGGGAACCGAGGTTACGTTAGTAACCGAGTACGTTTTGTAATATCTATGCCGCAAGTGTAATGTAATGGCATGTATGCCACAAATGTTAGATTTGAGATAGAACTGCAGACACTGACAGCGATTTGCAGTAACAAAGCGACTTGAAATCCTGCATTTTCAATCACTGGTTTGTGGCATCACAGCGGCCACTGGTGATGCAAAAAATGTTGAACTCTATGCAACTATGCAGTGACTACCAATGACAGGCTAGTGCATTATAGGCAATTTAATTTCCAGAGTACTCAGCAAAATGCTCTGCTGCATGCCAATTGTAATAGTTGCTACTGGTTTGAACAAAAAAACCCAGATTTACATAGCTTTTATAAGTTGTTATTTTATCATATCATGCCTATTAAGGACACAGTTATTGAATTAGATTTGTTGCCTAGACTCTCAGCCATAATTACTTTTCCATACGTTTGACATTAAGTTCTTGCATCCCTTTTGAGATACTGCAAACCTTTACAGTGTTCTATTCTTGGCCCAATTGCTAATGAGTGGAAACCAGGACGCTTCGGTGATGCTGGTTCTCAGCTCCCAGTTTAGACAGGGCCACAAAGGCAGATGGTGTGACTGAAGCCTACTGCTGTCTCTGTGAAGTCTGAAGGCTGCTGCTGGTGTATTGGCTGTCTTCCATCAGACTATATGCTCTGCGAGAGGTCAAACATTGCCAAACAAAGAGGCTTTTATGTAGGTGCTAATAAAATTATCAGGATTTTAAAATGATTTTTATAAGTTCATTATGGTTGATCAGGATTGCACAGTTTTCTGCTGTTGTTGTTATTGCAGTAGATCCTAGATTCATCGTATAGCATTAAATAGTGAAAAGAGGATAATGATGCATTTGTCACAGCGTAAATTAATGTATGTGGCTTTTATGTAGGTGCTAATAAAATTATCAGGATTTTAAAATGATTTTTATAAGTTCATTATGGTTGATCAGGGGAAATGTACCAGACCTTACTGGGCAATTAACCTTCTCTTGCGTGTAGCAAACAGTCAAGCTATCATAAGCTTTCATAATGACCCTCCAGACCGTCCCTGTTAGATCTAATTAAACTCATTCACACTTTGTGCCTAGTGGGTAAATCTTATAAAATCTAAAATTGAATGTGGTAATCCTGCTTCCTGCTCACATTGCCCGAGTGATGAAAGCTGAAATCATACAGAGACTACAGGGGCCGAAGTTTGGTCAGGTGGAAAACACCAACAACTTCCATAATTTATATGTACAACGTCACACCAATGTCAGGTGTGTTGATAATATAAACAAGAAAATAAGAATTTCCACCACTGGGGTGACATTTTGGTTTGAGCTCTTTTGACTCTTGCGAGTTGTATCCCTCCCTTTTGGACTGTTTGTGACTACACTAGTTGCCCCACCTGCATTTTATTTATTTTTTTAAATGGCAGACTAAAACTTTCATTGAAGTAACATATCCATCAAGTTCCAATGTCTCACAGTTTTTAAAGGACTTTCTTATTTAACATAATATTTTGGAGTGCCAAAATTCTTGCTTGTTACTTAAGCTTTCATTCCCTGTGAGACAGCAGCATTAGCAGGAAATCTCTTCTATGTCTGTAATTAACTGATATGAAAAGAATACAAAATAATTATGCCACACAATGTGCCACATGTTCAGACATGCACAGAGCTTGAGGGACACAACATTCAGAGGGTCCTTTTCTTGCTGTGGTTCATTCTGTCATGGTCTGAGGGTAACTTTGCTAATAGCATTATTCTGTTGTTCTGTTGTATGGGAAATAAAATAATCCTGAAGCAATTAAACAGTGTAAGATGCATAAAAAAGTTAATCTAAATAAATATGTATGTTTTTTTCCCAGTCCTGAGTCACCCAAATTTATGTTCTCTTACAGTATTTTGTATGCTGATATTGTTGGATTTACCCGCTTGGCCAGTGATTGCTCACCTGGAGAGTTGGTCCATATGTTGAATGAGCTATTTGGCAAATTTGATCAGATTGCCAAGGTAAGCTGAATCTCCGAGTCCAGTGACTGAAATGTACTTTATTCATATAAAGCTACCATTTCCTTCTGGTCTGGAAAATATATTACTTTGTAAAACTCAAACCAAATGTTGCAGATAATTTCACTCTTATCAAAAAGTTTTCTGGCTGTTGACATCCTTGATTGTTTCTGTGTGTTTCAGGAAAATGAATGTATGCGAATAAAAATTTTAGGGGACTGTTATTACTGTGTATCTGGCCTCCCAGAGTCCTTGCCAAATCATGCTAAAAACTGTGTGAAGATGGGTCTTGACATGTGCGAAGCTATTAAGTAAGTTCAGCCCCACATGTCTGCTATCAGTGATTCTCAGCTGGTGTTTTTAATACTAAGTTATACTAATACTACTAATCATAATTATTATACATTCTGCAAACCTGTTCATGCTTTGTCTCTAAAGAACAACGCTGTGAACACCTGGCTTTATTGCACATTACCACAGGAGATTACAAAATATATAATATAAATTCATTCATCCGTCATTCTGTTTCTATTTACATGTAACTTCAGTTTGCACAAAATTAAGAGCATTTATTAAACAATAAACAGACAGGATTTAAGCAAACTGTGTGCTCACTTGCTCTGTTTCTGTGATAGAATTTAGGCAGAGTCAGTCCAGCAGCAAAGCTTCTATTCCAGTCCTATAATCCTCCATGCAGAGGGGCTGATTGGTCTCGGCCCAGTGCTGCTGTGAAGGACATGATACCTGGCCATCCCAATAATGAGTCGGAGACCTCAGAGGTCAGACTGTGGAAAATGACTGGTGCTGAGTCTAGACGAGAGAGCTGTCTTTCTCTTATCTCTACCTGTTCTGCAGAAGCCTGGAAGAATCAAATCTCTCTATTAGTAGTTGCTGGCAAATTGTGGTGTTGGAAAATATGCTGTAAATTCCTGTTAAAGGATTGCAAGGAAACTCGTAGCAATCACAGTGTCGTATAATAACGTATAATCAACTGAAAAAAATGAAAATGCTATATTGTATTTTTTGAGTACTCAAGCCACAGTGTAGAAACACAGTGTAGAGTTTTCATTTTAAACCAAGTGCCAACAAATATTTTACTGATTAGCACCAATTTTATAAGGAATAATTCACAAAAAAAAAAAAAAATTTGTTGTTAATTTTTCTAAAGCCTTTTATTTTCTTCTGTGGAAACCAAAAGTAGAAATTTTGAATAATGTTCTCACTGCTGAGAAAATTCTTGAATAAATTACAAAATCATATTGATCAGGATCTGTTAAGTTCAGATCAGTTTCGCTATAGATCTTACTCTCTGTTGTAACTCATACCCCCGGTTTCACAGACAAGGCTTAAGCCTAGTCACAGACTAAAATGTAAGTCTGAGCTGTTTCAACTGAAAGAAACTTGCACTGACTGATCTTAAAATATACATCAGTGCCGTTGTTTTGTCTCAAGATGCACACCAGTAATGTTTTTTCTAAGTCAAGTCAAGTCACCTTTATTTGTAAAGCGTTTTATACAATACTGGTTGTGTCAAAGCAGATTTACAGTGTTAAACAGGAACATAGTTTGTTAATGATGCAAGAAAACAATAACAGAGTCATTTGTCCAGCTAAAGTCAGTTCATTGTTGATTCAGTGATGTCCTCACCCAGTTCAGCTCTCTTCCAATAGTGTCTGTGCAATCAGTCAAGCGTCCCCAACTAAGCAAGCCAAAGGCAACAGTGGCAAGGAACCAAAACTACATCGGTGACAGAAATGGAGAAAAAACCGTGGGAGAAACCAGGCTCAGTCGGGGGGACAGTTCTCCCCTGGACTGACGAAACGAGCATGGTGTGGTTTAATTCCAGGCTGCAACACAGGTGCAGAGGACTTGTCTGTTTCCGGTGGTCTTGTGCCGATGGTTGTCTTCACAGGGGATCTGTCTCTGGGGCGCATCTAGTTGATAAGGCACATTTATAAAAATCACTTAAATGTCTTAATTGAGCTATGGCCTAATCCTGGTTTAGTCTAAGCCCTGTCTGTGAAACCAGGCCTTAAACTACTAAAATCCCACTTACAAATCACTTGTGACTGATCACAAAACTGCAGTTTAGAATGTGCTAGAGAAAGATTAGAGATATGAGTAAATGTAAATTTTGTCCCCACATGATGCAATTGTATGGCATCAGAAGTCATAATATAGCATAAGAAACACAGGGCCTACTTTTGTTGTGCTATGGTGCTACTTTTATCGTGCTTTTTTGGAACTCAAAATCCTTCTCAAGTACGTTGTATGGTAAAGAGCAGCTATGACATTGTGTTAAGTGTCTTATTTTATGCTCTAAGGAAGAAAGAAAGTCATGACTTTAGAGCAACAGGATGAGTAAATTATTAATTTTTATCAGGATCATGGTCACCATGCTCACTGATGCATCTCTTGCAACTTGTGAATTGGAGTGACAAAAACAACATTCAAAAGGTCATGCCTTTTAAAAGGTCAAAGCCATGTCTCGTCTAAATGTGTTTCTAATCGTGTTATGGTATAAGGTTAAATCGATGCTCTGATGTGTGATGGGATGTGTTGTTATTTCCTTCCTTTTCTTTATAGGAAAGTGCGAGACGCCACAGTAGTGGATATTAACATGCGAGTGGGTGTTCACTCTGGAAACGTTCTCTGTGGTGTGATTGGCCTCCAGAAATGGCAATATGATGTCTGGTCACATGATGTAACTTTAGCCAATCACATGGAAGCAGGTGGTGTACCTGGGTAAGCGATTGTGGGGTTTTTATTTAATTGTATGCTTAATTTTTTTTATTACAGCTATTCATAATCATTTTCAGTTTGTAGAAGATGTGAAATTGTTAAGAATCTTTTGAGAAAAATGATAGTAATTGCAAGTTCTTGATGAATAGCCGAGTCCACATCACCTCAGTGACTCTTGAGCACTTGAATGGGGCATATAAGGTTGAAGATGGAGATGGCCAGGAACGTGATCCTTATCTAAAAGAGCATGGAGTTGTAACCTACTTAGTGATCAACCCAAAGGTATGAAGAACAAATAAACAGTCGCTGTTGTTTCTTTCAAGTCTAAAGCATTCTTTCAAAACCTAGCCATTATTGCCGATGCTGCTGTCATTATAAAATCTTGTGGCAATATATATCATGTTGCTAAGTTGTCCAAAGTACTTACAAAATGCAGCTGAGTAGGTGAAGTGAAGTTTGTCTAGACTGCGGTCTTTTCTTTTTTTTTTTTTTTAGGCAGAGAGAAAAAGTCCTCAGCATCACTACAGACCCAGACACCCCATGGATGGGGCTAAAATGAGAGCTTCAGTGAGGATGACCAGATACCTGGAGTCATGGGGTGCAGCCAAGCCTTTCGCCAACCTTCACCACAGAGACAGCATGACCAATGAGAACGGAAAAATCAACACTGCTGTGAGCTTTCCCATGAGACACTGTCCTCTCTTTTTTTTCTCCTTTTTTTTTCAGGGCCTAGATTTTAGAGTGGAGAAGTTAAACTGCTTAATGTACAAAAGTAAATAAAAATGTCCTTAAATTAATATTAAACATATATTACAAATGACCAATTGACACTTTTGAGAATTCATAAATAGCAGCAGAAGATTCCTTCTTGGTAAACACTTGGTAAAATTAATATACAAGTGAGGTAAATCAGCCTTTAATGTTAATAACAAAAATAAATAAATAAATAAAAGTACTATTGTAGCGATGTACTTATATTGTTAGTTTAATCCATTTCCAGTTCAAGACCCACCAGTCCCATATGCAAATGTAATATACTGTATGTACATATATTACGCTTCCATATATGAAATAGATTGTCACATGAAGTAAAAACATATGAAACCTATTAGAAATTAGAACAATTTTATTATTAACATTATATATATATATAGCCCATACAAATGTGTTTATGTATGTGTAATACATTTTTGGACATACAGTGGAGATCAAAATTAGAGAGCAATCTATAAATACTTTGCAGAAATGTTGTTATTCTTTATGTAATAGGAATATTAGCTGTGTGTATTCCACTGTTCTACTAATATTTTTACAAAATAACCAGAGAATTTCAATTAAAAAAACTGTCCTTCTACTCCTGTTAGGATAACGTCAAACAGGACTTAGCAGTGACCTTGAAATTTAGGAAATTGTAGGTTGTTCTCTAATTTTGATCTCCACTGTATGTCATGTACATGTATATCCATCCTAAAACCTGTCAATACAGGTTGATATCATATAAATAAATATAAATGCATTTAAAAAAAAATATTACAAAAACATATATGAACAGCTTTTGTTCTTGTGACTTTTTTTTAGATGTCTCTGCTGCTAAAATTACTCACCACCTACTCTTTTCTTATTAACAGGATGTGCCCATGGGCCAGTACCACTTTCAGAGGCGTTCAGAGAGGTGATTTAACTTCTGTATATTTTTTTCCATAAGTAACATTGAGCATACTAAAGGGCAGTTATGTTACAGTAGTTGACATATTTCATCTGTTCTAAATCCTAGTGATCCTAGTTTTGACCTTTTTGTAATAAACGTAGTATTTAAATACATACAGTAGGATGAATATGTATAGAATGAATTGAAATGGTAAAGATATTTCATGTTTATGAATGTATGCCAAAGAGCCTTCTAGATAGAGTCATTAATAAGTCAATGTCCTCCTCAGAACAAAATCTCAGAAGAAACGTTTTGAGGAGGAACTCAACGAGAGGATGATTCGAACTTTTGATGGGATCAATTCTCAAAAGTAGGTCACCTCATATCTCTGCTTTATTTGCCCATTATGTTTAATGTTCCAGTTCTGTGTTGGTTGGTTTTATCTATCCGTATCTTTTTTTCCATAGACAATGGCTCAAATCAGAGGACATTCAGAGAATATCTTTGTTTTTCCACAATAAAACATTGGAAAAAGAGGTAAGCACTGATACTTTGTAAGCTAATGTTAATTTGAACTAGAGTCATCCATAGTTTATTAATAATACGTCACCATATCAATAATTGAAATATAAACCTGTTTGTTGTCACCCACGATAAGACTGAGAATGAGACGAATCAGTCAACTAAATTTAAAAAAGACCAAATTGTTAGATCCTGTATGAGAACAGTGTGTCCTTTCCCTGCAGTATAGAGCAACGACCCTGCCAGCCTTCAAATATTATGTTACCTGTGCCTGCTTGATATTCGTCTGCATTTTCATTGTGCAGATCCTGGTTCTGCCAAAGTAAGTTTGTTCATCTTCTGCACCTGTTTCACAGTGCATGACAACACAGGAAATGTCATAGAAGGATTTAAACAATGCAATCTGTATCCAAATAGAAATATTTTAACATAGAATTCTTAATTTCTACTGACTTATGTTTAATTCTATTACAAAAGGTCTCTATTTAAGTCTTCACTGTTGTGAACTGGAGATGTCAGGATGAATTTGTGAGCGAGAACACCTGTTCTCACTTTCTTCCGTTTGTGATTTAAGACACCATGTGCTTTCTGTCTATTTCAGAACTGCAATATTGGGAATATCATTTGGAATGTCTTTCTTAATTCTGTCTATGGTTCTGCTCATTTGCTTCATTGGACATTTTTTGGTAAGTGCCAATGGAATCTAGTGTTTACCTTCAAAATAATTTAACACTATTTTAGCAAAAGCCAATCATTCATTTCAAACAAGACAATTCCTTCTTGAAGTTTGGTACATTACATTACATTGCCATTTGTTCTTTTGGAAGAAAAAATATATAATATGCACACATACAGAAACTTTAGGCAGGTGCTTGATCAAATGAAGTGCTTCACTATAAGTAAACAAAAATCAGCACACTGCCACTGCTGCTCCCAAAGATCAATATATTAAAATAAACACAACGTTTCGACCGTAAGGTCCACAGAAATAGTCTTATAGGAACTTGACTGGTATGACTGATAAGCATTTGCTGTATTTACAAAACGTATGCTATATGGTACTGTAAGCAGGCCGACTATGTAATACAGAATGTTAACTGGGTAAAGAGACACATGAAATGAAGCGAAAAAATAAAATAAATAAATATATATATATATATATATA